ATCGGGAACTATAAGAAATCCCTGGAACGTATTACTCGCACGCCATCGTGTGTCCATCTCGCTAATTAATATGGCATTTTATTCCCACAGGAGCAATTAACACAATCAAAATATGATATTGTCTCCTCTAAAGATAACCAGAACCTCCGTGAATACATCATCGATTTTATTGTAAGAATAGCCCCTATGCATGATTACGTCAGACGAGTAAATTTCACCAACAAGCCTCGTTTGTGAACAAAATTTTTTGCATTTGCACTTTTTGTGCGTGGGTATTCTTTTCAACTCTACTGCCTTGGGAATTCATTTCTGTGAAACTTCGCTTATTTTTAATTTCAAAACGAGGCTTGGTGGTGAAATTTGCTTGTGTGACGTAAACATGCATAAGGGCTATTACTGATGTCTTTCAAACAGAGCAACTTCAAAACACTCGGCCACTTTACTCAAATTTATTTACACTGTGTGAGCCACGCCGAAATGTTTCTTTGTAACTACCACGAAAAATAATCAAACTAAAACCAAACCAAAGTCTCCAGGTGATTAAAAGCAAAAGGCCGCCCTCGAGGAGAACGCGACACCACAAAAATATTGTTTTCGAAACGTAACGGCATTAGCAGAGATTCTCAGTGAACGGATCGCAACAGTATTTTTCTAAATAAATATAAAAAAGAAAAAGAAAAGCCCTCTTCCAAATAATCGGTTAATACGTACTGTGCTTTCCAGTTTCCAGGACGTACTAAAAGTGTCGGAAATGGGAATTTTGCTACGCGTGTTTTATTTGTAACGAAAAACAAATCTTTTACTAATAAATGCCGAAAAATATAACTGGCGGGGGGTCTCCTACAAGAGAATCACCGATTAAAAAAGACTCTAAAACAGACATATAGCGTTTATTAGCTTGTAAACCCCTTAATTTTCCAGTTATTTCGCAAGTGATTTCATAACACTTGGTGTCTAACTCACAGAATCACGGGCGTGCCACCACCTAGTGTAGCCCGCGAGCAAGCTCTCCTATTTGGGCGAGCGAAGCGAGCCGCGCGAGAACGCTCGAGCGAGCAGCGAACGCGCGAGCGACCGGCGAAGCCGCGAGGAGCCGGCGTGAGTGTTTCTGTTGCATGATAAAACTTGCACTTAGGAGTTTAGAATACCACAGCATTACAATAAAACTCCCTTACTCAAGCTTAAACTTTTTAACCGTTAAATTTCCACTTGGTGCGCAAGTGATTTCATAATGCAGTGGTGTCTGACTCACAGAATCACGGGCGTGCCACCTAGTGTTTCTGTTACTTTAAAAATTGCACTTGGGAGTTTAGATCACCATGGCATTACAATAACACTCGCTTACTCGAGCTAAAACATATCAGATATATTAACCATTTTTTTTTTACGCCACCTAGTGTTTCTGTTGCTTTGAAAAATCACACTTATAAAGGGACTGGTTGACGATAATGTGCATGTGTGAGTTCTGACAGTAGCTGATTGTTTTTCAACCAGTCGGAAGCGAGTTAGATGCACGCAAGTAAATAATTACTTGTTCGCGACTCGAGAGTATTTCCGGGCATTTGGTTTGATTTTATTTATCCCCATAAATCAAGTTTATTCTTTGCTACTCCCCAGATATATGTTGCAGCCGATAAGAATAAGATTTACAGCCCTGTCCTGCTTTGAAACAAACATTTACCAAAATGTATTTTTACAAGGTCGTACCCACGCTAACAAAACAGTCACCGATCGGCAAACAAAATTTGTAAACAAACATCTTATTACTCTTTTCTCAGTTCGCCTTATATAAAACCAGAAATACCTAAAAATAGCGCCTGACCGGTGACAAAAACACACAACGTATGAGTATAAAGATTATCCTTAATTGAACATAAATTTCAATTGCTTATCAGCAAATTAAAAACTTCATTCTCGTTGCATCGGGTCAGTGTTCCGCAAAACAAATGTTTTCGAGTAGCACACATAAAGAAACTAGATTATAAACAGAACATTCAGGCAATAATTTATTTTAAAAACATCAATTCTTACACATATACGATCGTAAAGCAAAGATACAAGGAACATTTCAAGTGTACCAGATCGGTGAAGATCGCGCGGTCTGTTGCGGTATAACTACAGGTCGGAGTCAAAAATCAAATCAAAGTTGGACGAACTCATGCCTTTAACCACTTTCCAAGTGTCGTGTATTCTTTTCGTATGCCACACACTACCCCTAGAACCATACCAGATCGATAGGCTAAGCTTCTCTATCTCCAGAGACTCTTGAGAACGTCCTGTTGCCGGACGGCCACGATGCTCTTCTGAACCTCCCTGATCAAAACATTATTTTTTGCGTCTTTTTAAAACGTAACCAGTCAAACGACACAACCACACGTTAATCACCACTACCGAAGTATAACTAGACCAGCCAAAGCGACGGATAAAACGAATAAAACGAAGGATTTTAAATGATTGTACCGGTAATGGCGATTTCGAAGTTAGTGTTGACCCGACAAATTTATTCTGAAGAGACAAACGGCGCGCATGCGCATTATCGTGACCAGTCCCTTTAAGAGTTTAGAACACCATGGCATCACAATAACACTCGCTTACTCAAGCTAAAACATATTAACCTTTAAATTTCCACTTGGTGCGCAAGCGATTTCATAATGCCGTGGTGTCTGACTCACACAATCACGGGCGCGCCACCTAGTGTTTCTGTTTAAAAATTGCACTTAAGAGTTTACATCACCATGGCATTACAATAACACTCGCAAGTTACTCGAGCTAAAACATATCAGACATATTAACCATTAATTTTCTTCCGTGCGCAAGTCATTTCATAATACCGTGGTGTCTAACTTACAGAATCACGGGTGCGCCATCTAGTGTTTCTGTTCCTTTAAAAATTGCACTTAGGAGTTTTCATCACCGTGGCATTACAATAAAACTTGCTTACTCGCCGGCTAAAACATATCAGACATATTAACTATTAATTTTCTTCTGTGTGCAAGTGATTTCATAATACCGTGGTGTCTAATTCACAGAATTACGGGCGCCCCACCTAATGTTTCTGTTGCTTTAAAAATCGCACTTAGGAGTTTAGAACACCATGGCATTACAATAACACTCGCTTACTCGAGCTAAAACATATCAGACATATTTTACCCTTAATTTTCTTCTGTGCGCAAGTGATTTTTTTTTTCCTGCAATATATAGCTTTTTTGACTGGATAACGAGTTAAATAGCGGCAGCGGCGAGATTTGGTAATTTTTGGCAATTTCACTATTCGACCGAATCCATTTGATCGCTTGGTCTTTGTGTTTTCTGCCTCTACTATGACATCTTAAGGAATTCAGGCCGAGTTATTCCTAACAATAGTATTTCCGCAATGTATTGTATGTAGGCCGTTTGCACACGCTTGACATCATTGACAACAGATCATACATAATAGTCATCAAACAAATGCAGGCGGATTAGAAGATCTAACGTTTTCTATATCAAAATGCCTACCAGACTGCCGATGAATAGTACGACTTACACCTTTTTTTCGTAATATCGTTAGGCTCAGAAACATTTTCAAGGCATAGGAAGACCGTCTTCCTCTCCCAATGTCATCTAAACCTACCCAGACGCACACACCGTCCTTTACGATCATCTCAAGAGTGCAATGCTGGCTTTGATTTCATCAGAGTTCAAATCATAATGTTACACTTCTTCCATATAAAGAAAATGTCAATTATTATTTCCATTGTTTTGGTTAAATTTTTAACTATAGAGAGTTGAATGTACAGGATTGCATCATAAGGAGGCCATAAAAGTACGAGCACAACGCACCAGCGAGTGCCTGACACGCGATTCACTGCGGAAACTGCTGTTTAGCAAGCTCAGGCCAAAAAATTGGTTGAATCTGCAAGCACAAAGCCTTCGAGATCAATGATTACAATTTTTTTTGGCATCTATCACGGACCGCGAGTGATACATAATAAACATTTTGAACCAACGCTTTTATCTAGCAACATTCGTCCGATTCTATTTGAGTTCCGCGACCTTCAATACAATCAATACAATATGGAACTACGCTACATTTTAATACTGGCAAAGACAAGAAACAGGGGCACCCAACGTCAATTTTTAGAAAATATCTGTTCGGAAGATGATTTGAGATCTAGAATATTCGGAACAATTTTTGTAAAATTTCTTGTTTGTCTGCCTCTCCTAGGATTTTCGAACATCTAAAAAATGGTATAGTTGCCCATTTTTAACGGATTTTTACCCTAAAAAGGTCACCTAGAAGTATTCGGGAGCCTTGTTTTCTGGCCGAAAATTTCGAAAAGGTAATTTTTGATCCCTAAAATTTTCGGATCACTAGACTTTCAGCTACGAAATCCGAACAGATGAAAATTTTTAGGGGATAAAAATATGCCTATGTCTACCGTTTAAATACTACAATACGTTCAACTATACTATGTTTAAGTGGTTTTGAACTATATTCTCGTTGGGTGCCCCTGCAGAAAGACAACGCTTGAGTCGTAACCCATGCCATCTTTAATAACAAGGGTAATAATAGCTCTGATCGATCCGATTTTGTCCATGTTGTTGACACTCTTAGGCTACGTCTGGGCTGCCTGTGTTGGCACTAGCTCACCAGCAAATGCTGCAGGGATGGGAGAGGTGTGTTTGTGCATCGGGGCATTTGACCGACGGTCTGGACGCTTGGTTACACTAATCGGATAGGTAAATATGTGGCGCGATATTGCTTTGTTTTTCAGGGGTTTTTGTTCCATTCAGTGTTAATGCGACTGAGTTCTACAATATTACCCGTGTTTCTGGTCTCAACAACCCAATGACCGGCAATGATTTATCACAAGAAACGAGTCATAATTGTTGCCCTTATCTTCGCTTCTGCTCCGGCATGGATGGTTTTTGCCTACTTCACTATCACTTTCCATAATCAGGAACGCCCATCAGAGCTACAAAATGCACCTACCTTGGCAAATACTGCCCCTATAGTCATTATGGCAGCATTAAAAAATCAAACAGAAATCAACGACACAGATGACTCAGATGTAGACGAAACTCTCCATCAACTGATTGATTTTAAAGACTTGGGGAAGGATAAGAGAGCAGTATTGCTATTGATCATCGTTTCCACTGCAACAGCAAGATTTGAGAGAAGACAGGCAATAAGAGAAACATGGTGGAAACATTGTTCTGGCAATCAGACTCAGGTAAGCAGGCAAGATAGGTTCTTTGTCGCCAGTTATCTCACGATCTCACGATGATGTTTCTTTCAGTAATAACATTGGTGACGAATTACTCCTTAATTTTGGCCCGAAATTTCAGCGTTAATTTGTAATTTCACATGTGAAATTACAAAATTGCCATGGCGACCCTTCCGTACGTCTGAGTGTCAAGATGGCGATGAAGTTTTAAAATGTCATGAATGAAGATGTCAGGGCACAAAAATTAAAGACGCTTTGGAAAAACTGAACACACAAGAGAACTCAAGAAGGATTCTAAGAGGTATTTTGCCGAAAAAGTCTGAAAAATTCTGAACTTTATAAGCCAAATTTAAGGTCTAAACATTTGAGAGAGTGGAGTTCTCGATCGATACGTTCCAGGATAGACATGTCAAAAATCCAAGATTGCTAACGTAATTCGTCACCCATGATATTAATAGGTAATCAAATGGTATACTCGTGAAACTAGGGAATAATTTCACTTGCCTCTTGTCCAAATCCTAATAATTTCTTTCGCCTAAAGGCTCAGGAAGTTATTAGGGTTTGGACAAAACGCGCGTGAAATTATTCCTTAATTTCACTCGTCACCATTTGATTACACATGCTTATTCACAGCGAAATTTTCAACCAACGACGAAGACGACGGCAAAAAGCAAAAATCAACGGGTTTAGATTAGCAAAACAACAACTTTGCACGAGCAGCACCCTTTGTTTTTTGCACTTTCTTTAGTGTCGTTCAACGACCTCGACGTCAAATTTCTTATTTCCCGTTTTACACCGAGAACGTGAACAAAAGACACCGATTCGGAACCTGGATACAGTCCTTTTGGAATAAACCTTCAGAGAAATTCGCCAAAATTGGACAATTAAGGTGGCTCGATACAGTTTTTCAGAGTCAATACCTCCCAAGTTTGAGCATAAACTACGTCACCATAACCAAAGACTTGGAAAAATTGCCACCACGGTTGTATTAGATAAAGCACAGGTAACCCAGGCTCTGTGATAGTACCACAGTACAGTTCTAGTGAAATTACAGTGTTTGTATGGGGTAAAAATATGATCTTAAAATTTGTAGTAAATACTAAATATAAGTCAATGAAACTTACCGTGTAGTTAGTTGTTGTTGTCCTTATTGCTCCAACGAAGTTGCCTAGGCCTCATTTTCTTGGCCGCCCGTTGATCTGGCCCGGTTACTTCTGCGAGCATATTCTCGGCCTTTTTGGATTACATCCTTCGAGTTTGTCAAAGTCTGCGGGATTCGTTTTTCCATCTGGGAAAGCTTCATTGGTTTCTATATCTGCTGATATCCTATTACTACGATCCTGGCATGTTTATTTTCTGTTGGAGTTCGAATTTCGTGGAAAAAGTTGTGTTGAATGAGAGCATGACGGCGAAGATGGAATCTTTTGTCTCCTACTGCTTGTATATTATAATTGTATATAGAGTGAATTTGAACAAATTAGTACAAATTATCACGAAACTTCGTTGGAGTAATAGGGACAACAACAACTAACTGCAACGTAAGTTTCATTGACTTATATTTAGTATTTCCTACAAATTTTACGATCGTATTTTTACCCAATACAAACACTGTAATTTTACTAGAACCATACTGTGGTACTATCACAGAGCCTGGGTTAGCTGTGGATAAAAATGAAAATTTGTTATGATCAGGGTTGCAACTACATCGGAGTTGTCATAGCAACGAAATGACGCTATTACCTATTTTACTTGCAGCAATATATCTCGGCCGCTAGGAACTGTTCTTCCAAAATCGTTCGCGGTTGTTGTTTCCTTTAATACCGGCCTCGATGCTCGTCAAGTTTAAGCCAAATCTGTAAGAGCGTTATCGCGACTATTATGGGATGAAGTCTTTTTTTATGGCTAGAAACACAGTTAAAAATGGACAACCTTGATGTTTGGCCGTTATCTGTACAAAACAAAGCGCTTTACACATGCAATTTTACCTCATGGTAGTTTCAACCTTTTTAAAAACGTTTGTGAAAGATCATGGAGATAACTCCAGCCGATTGCTAGAAAGAAGGATTTGATTACTAGGTATCGAAACGCTCTTGTTAGCGGTTTTGTAAACATTTAGGTCTTCTTTAACAAATTAGCGAATAATTTTTAAACCGCTCGATACATTTTTTTTTTAAATTTAAGATTCTCGAGACTAACTTTCCTTTAATATGACCTTTTACTTTCAATATTATTGATAAATTGTAAGGCAGTAAAATAAGGGCTACAATTCGTTTTTTTTTGTTCCGGGAAAGCTCGATGTGGGATTTCTATTCTATGGACATGAAGTGCTGCAAGTAGAGTGCGTGATAGTCAAGTACAAAGCTACCCGTCTAAACACATACGTAACGTAGACGGGTAGTTAAAGTTGCTTCTAGTAGTAGTCGAAGGTTAAATCATTGATATCTCAAGTATTTATAAAGTGCAACACGGCTTCATATCTTAACAACTACGAAAATCTATCAATTAAATACATACAACAGTAGTATAGGGTGCACCACGGTTTCCACTTTTTTGAGCAGGAATCTCATAAGCGTGAGCAGGAATAGATTAACGCCAATGACGTCATAGGCTATTGTCTTGATCTCATGAATAAAATGCGCAGGAATCTCATTAAGATAAGGTCGTGTGTTATTTTTAGTTGGTTTAGGTTTTCTAGTTACTTTAATGTCGATAGACGTCTTCCTTTTCGATTGGTTAGTTAGAAAATAAGAAACGTTTCCATTGGTTAATTCATAGTGTCTAAGGAGTAAAGTCAAACTTGTCTGTGACTTAAAATCACTGAGACGTAACGTAATTATGCACTTCCTATTTCCTGCTGCTGTGATTGTCCTGTTACTTACCCCTCTCCTTTTCATTTTTTATTTTCCTCCTCCTCCACAATTTTGTTATTTTCCTTCCGCAATTTTTTTATTCCCATTTTTCTTTCCTCCTCCTCCTCCTCCTCATTTCTATTGTTTTCCCTCCACCACCACCACCACCACCACCACATTTCCATTGTTTTCCTTCCTCCTCCTCCTCCTCATTTTTATTGTTTTCCCTCCTCCTCCTCCTACTCATTTTTATTGTTTTTCCTCCTCCTCCTCCTCATTTTTATTGTTTTCCCTCCTCCTCCTCCTACTCATTTTTATTGTTTTTCCTCCTCCTCCTCCTCCTACTCATTTTTATTGTTTTTCCTCCTCCTCCTCCTCCTCATTTCTATTGTTTTCCCTACACCACCACCACCACATTTCCATTGTTTTCCTTCCTCCTCCTCCTTCTCATTTTTATTGTTTTCCCTCCTCCTCCTCCTTCTCATTTTTATTGTTTTCCCTCCTCCTCCTCCTTCTCATTTTTATTGTTTTTCCTCCTCCTCCTCCTCCTCATTTTTATTGTTTTCCCTCGGAAGGCCAAAGAGGCCAAAATCAGGCCTAAACGGCCTAAAAGGCCAAACTTGCAGGGAAAACACCAGAAATGAGGAGGAGGTGGAGGAGGAGAAGGAGGAGAAGGAGGAGGAGGAGGGAAAACTATGGAAATGTGGTGGTTGTGGTGGTGGTGGTGGTGGTGGAGGGAAAACAATAGATTTGTGGCGGTGGTGGTGTAGGGAAAACAATAGAAATGAGGAGGAAGAAGAGGAAAGAAAAATGGGAATAAAAAAATTGTGGAAGGAAAATAACAAAATTTTGGAGGAGGAGGAAAATAAAAAATGAAAAGGAGAGGGGTAAGTAAAGCATTGCTTGCAGTGTATAAAAAGAGCTAGTTTGCCTTTGCCCTCTTTAATATATATATACACGATTTGTCCGCCAAAAATCAGTGAACCGGAACAAGGACAATCACAGCAGCAGGAAATAGGAAGTGCATAATTACGTTACGTCTCAGTGATTTTAAGTCACAGACAAGTTTGACTTTACTCCTTAGACACTATGAATTAACCAATGAAAACGTTTCTTATTTTCTAACTAACCAATCGAAAAGGAAGACGTCTATCGACATTAAAGTAACTAGAAAACCTAAACCAACTAAAAATAACACACGACCTTATCTTAATGAGATTCCTGCGCATTTTATTCATGAGATCAAGACAATAGCCTATGACGTCATTGGCTTTAATTTATTCCTGCTCACGCTTATGAGATTCCTGCTCAAAAAAGTGGAAACCGTGGTGCACCCTATACTACTTACAACAAAGTGAATCTATTTAACCGTGGAGTCCCAGAAACGTAACGCCTCAATACACCACAAATAGGATTTCCCGCTATAATATTTTCTTATCCTACAATAATACGCGTGCATAATAACGCGAAAATCAAGGGCCTCGATTCGGGGAAAATTACATCATTGCCAAACAGCAAAAACGTAATCAACTTACATGCGTCATTTCAGTCATCGCCAAAAATAAACCGCATGCTCATCACGAGACTCATTTGCATACAATGAAACTCATCACCATTCTTATCCCCAGTTTCCACGGTCTCTGCTAGGAACGCTTGGGAGCATGGCGTCCTAACTGGTGCCCACACACATACAAAAATAAAGAAACGTCTGCATTTTTAGTCTAGCTGTGCTAAAGCAAGCTCTACTAAAAAGCTCCTCAATGAATCATTGGCGAAGGTGCCTTGGTTATAAATAGAGAAAACAGAATTGAAAGTCGTGAATCTGCTTTTCCAGAAAACGTTTAGTTTCATCATTTCATCATTTTTACCTCACCAAAGTATGGAATGTGTGTAAAAAGAGAGCTACACAACGGTAAGAATACTATTGACCAACAACATACAGAGCAGGGGCAGCTGTAGTGTCAACTATGTATGTGTAATCAAATGGTGACGAGTGAAATTAGGGAATAATTTCACGCACGTTTTGTCTTAGGCTCGGGAAATTATTAGGATTTGGACAAAACGCAAGTGAAATTATTCCCTAATTTCACGAGTATACCATTTGATTACCTATTAATATCATGGGTGACGAATGACGTTAGCAATCTTGGATTTTGACATGTTTATCCTGGATCGTATCGATGGAGAACTCCTGCACTCTCTCGAACGTTTAGAGCTTAAGTTTGGCTTAAGTGGTTCAGAGTTTTTCGACAAAATACCTGTTAGAATCGTTCTTGATGTGCTCGTTCGTGAGTTCAGGTTTTCTAAAGCGTCTTTTTGTGCCCTGACATCTTCATTCATGACGTTTTAAAACTTCGTCGCCATCTTGACACTGGGACGTACGGAAGGTTGCCATGGCAATTTTGTAATTTCACATGTGAAATTAGAAATTAACGCTGAAATTTCGCGCCAAAATTAAGGAGTAATTCGTCACCTATGATATTATACTAGTAATACATGTACTCTAGAGAACCGTTTCTTTCAAATTTCGTCTTATTCTCGTGCATATCTACGCATAATTTATGAAAAGACAAAGGTTCACGTTCCCCTGAGAGCTCTATTGGGAAAACAAAACACACAAGCGAAAGAGGTCTATTAACGGGCCCGAAAAGCTGTTGTCGTTTACATTAAAGTTCGAGGTTTCAGTAGGTTTACAGATAATATGATAAAACTATCAGTATATAATCTGAATATTTGATTTCGGGCCCGTAAAGTTACCGGGACTTTCGAGAAACGGGCCCCAGGAGCATAGTCCTTGGAGTCTCGGTTCGGTCAATCCTGGGCCGGGTTGTTCAAAGCAGGGTTAAGATAACCCAGGGTTAGTGCGAGGTATAAATTCAGATATGAAAGCTTAAAAATCAAATTCAGTGTAATTCTTTTAGCCTGTAATATACTAAATTGATGCTCTATAACGAATAGTGAAAATTATCCGGAAAATGCTTTTGAACAAAAGAACAAGAAACCCAGAATAAACCTTAATCCTGAGTTACGATTAATGGGCTTTCGAACAAGTGGGCCCTGGAGTCTACTGTGAGCTGTGACGTCATCGACAGAGACTCGCCCGCTCTTTTCCAGACTTCGCGCGGACAACGGGCAACACAAAACGCCTAGGGACTAGGCTGAGGTCCCAGGGCTTTTCTCTTGGACTCTGGGAGGGTCCCATCCCAGATTTACACGAGAAAGGCCCTGAAGATGGCTTACACGACACCCGGGACATAAGGGCAGTTCTGACCTCGTGGGTGCAACTTGAATTTTTCTTTCTTTAGGTGGAATGCGTCTTCATGACTGATGGACTCATAACAGAACAAATTCAACATAACCTTATTTTAAAGGAAAAGGATAAATACAAGGATATTAAGCTTCAGCCTCTTAAAGGAGGCCGTGGGTGGTTTGGATTCCGCTTCCTTAACCAAATCAAATGGGCAGCGGCGAAATTTAACTTTCAGTACCTACTTAGAATTGATGATGACTACTTCTTGTGCCCAAAAAGGCTTCTTTTTGAGCTTCCATTGAGACCGAAACAAAATCTAGTCTGGGGATTTTTCCACTGTCAAAAAGGAATCACATGGGTGGATGATGCATTTATGATATTCTCCGAAGATGTTATTCAGAAGTTCTTGGCGCAGAACGAAAGCTCGATGTTGTGTCATCCACAAGCGGACCAACAAGTCATGTTGTGGCTGAGCAGTATTCTAAACATAACATACTTCCACGATACCAGGTTACATCATCATCCTCCAGCGTCATATGTTCCTCGATTTAGTCACATCTCGAATGTTTGTGACTCCCATTTAGGCGCCCATGGGGCATATGGCAAGACCATGTATTATCTGGGGCTAAGAGCTAATGACAACGCTAAAGATGTTTCAGCTATTCCTGATTTTGCAAAATTTTGTAAAACCACAAAGTTTGATCACCGTGCATTTGGTGGTGTGTGGCGACATGAACCCCAGCCCTGCAAAGATAACCCAGCGTGGGACTTGGGAGATAAAATGTGGTTTGGTAGGGAAGTTGTTCAAGGAGTGTAATCTGGAAATTAATTTTTTAAAAAATAAAAACGATAGAGGGCCGTGTTTTACAGGATGTCAAAGAGTGGAATTTCCTTGTCATGTTTAAATTCAATGGTAAATCAAAATTTGATACTGTTGTGACTATTCAAATGCTGCGAGAACCTTTAGCACAATGACGCCTTAACCTTATATATATCAACGCGCCGAAACCAAACTAGAAGAGAATTGTTAAACAATAAAAATGGAGGCGATGAAAAATGTTCGTAGTGCGCATGTTTTTGACTTAAAATTATTAAAGGACTTTTATTGGTATTTGGGATTTATTACAAATTTCATTTGATTCGGGAATTATCTATAGGTGAAGGGAAATATCATAAAAAAAAAACAATTTGACTTATTTTACTTGGTGTTCAACTCCTACGCATCAGCACTGATCAAACGACATCCTCTCCCGAAATGAGAAAATGATTTCTGTTGATTCAATCTCCTTGGTCTTGTTGAAGGATCAAGTTGACTGAAGAGTTACGTTAGAGTCACTTGTGGCATTTGCCACGATATATTTAGTTTTTGTAAGATGAGTTGTTGTTTGAAAGCGTTCTTGTTGATTGGTTTTTCTCCTGACATGAATTCAAAAGGAGATCATTTGGTGCTTCGATTCACTACTAGTCAGGTTTGGTTCCTTTGGCAATGTTAATTGTCCAATTTAACATTTTTGATTAATCTGACAACCTGTTTGTTTTTTTAACATTTTAATTTTTTTAAACTGTAAACAACTTTTTTTAAATTCTGCGTTGTACATCTTTTATTTACCCTTTGAGTTTGCAATCACTTCCATTTAATCTGTTTAATCATCTTCGATGAAGCCTGAAAAGTTTTTTAAACTAATTAGTGTTTTCCTAAAAGTTTAACTAGTTTTTGTAGTTTTTATATCGTTCTCCTAGTTTTATATTTGCCAGTTGACTTAAGCTCAATAGTGAAAACTTCGGTTGAAGAGTCATTTCGACAAAGCAATTATCTCGAAGGTTTTATGCTAATGAGACTGTTTTAACCAATCGGATCAGACTTACGCCAGCATTCGGTTTGCACTAAGCAGCTAGTTTCCTGGCTGATATAAAAATGGGTGTAACACTGATTTAGCAGAGAATTGTAAAATAGGAGTTGAGTTAACTTAGTGACATTGGACTAAAGAATAAAAAGGAGTCAATTGAACAAAGCCTCGTCTGTTTGTTGTGAGAACCAGATAGTTCCCCAGAAAGGCTCTTCAACAGAATGACAAACTTTCCCGTTCATGACCCATCTAGTTCTTTTAAATTTTAAGAAGAGAGTTACCGACAGGTATTTAGCCAGCATTTCGAGCTAAGTTTGATGGAAGTTGTGCTTATTTTGGGTAAAGTTAGCGAGTTTATGATTTTTCGCATGTTGTAGTTCGCTGTATATAACAAATTTTTCCTGTGCCTTATTTTGGCCTTTGAAAACTGATTTACACCCAGTCCCGTTTTAACTTGGCAAATAGTCATTTCCCAGGTTGTAGGTGAATCCTTTTCACATTAAAATAAAATTTTCTATTATTGAAAGAGCATACCAGTTTCAGTTATCTCTCAAAATTTGAGCCCGGTGTACCGAATAGGTCCCGAGAAAAGCCCAAAATTGACAAAGATTAACGTTTTGCCACCCAACAATTTAGCAGTATTTGATTGCTGCTATTTCCTTTGTTACTGATTACAAAAAGCTAAACTTGCACAAACTGCTCATATTAACCACCTCCTTCAATTTTTTAACTTAATAGTGAAAATCTATCCTACGGAAATGGACTTTTAATACTTTTCATGTTTTTGCAAAAAAAGAGAAATTTTGTTGTCTATGCACCTATAAACCAACCAACATGTGCAAAAAGGTGAAGTTTTCGCTAAAGGAAACTTCAACTTAAAGGCTTGGTTGAAACTCGTTGGAAATATGCTATCGCATGAGGAACTCGTGCCAAATGTGCACTTTTCTATAGAGGGCGCTTGAAAATAGGGTCCTTTCGATATTTTTGACCGCGCACTCCTGAGAACTAGGTAGTCGCATGTAAGCGAGGCTTAGAGGACACAAGATGGCTGACTCTGCTGCAGGCAATTTTCACTGTAAACCGGTTCCTTGGTTAAAAGAATACAAAGGGGCATTCAAAGCTCAGGAAAACGTAAGGTTGAACTGGTAGAACTTTGTGAGAAAAGTGAGGAGATGAAAGTCCCAAAAATTGCTGTATGTATGTATTTTCTTCTTTTGATTTCTGAAGCCTGTCTATGTGCTTGATATTCCATAAACATACGTTTGAGAATCAAAACGTTTGGTCTTTTCGGTTGTTTTTCTCTGTGACAGGTTTTGTTTTATTCAGATTCGAAGGTTTATATTTTCCTTGTAGCAGTTGTAACATGAGTAAAAAGTAGATGCCTCCTGAATTGAAGATCTAAATCAATGGATGCATTATTTTAAGTCTCAAACCTTCTGGATCATTTATGACTTCAGCACTAAGTATTAAAACAGTAGTTCAAAGTCTGTGAGCCTAGTAACTGAACTTATTGGCTACTTTACAGTCTATCAGTGTGAACAATAGGAGATACATATTTGTCATATTGGTCCTCCTTTAAACCGGGCAGATGGAGGTTGCCGGCACATAGCTGCAGCATTGTTTGATCTAGAAGCAAATGTGAGATTCAATGATCTCCAATCATGTACATCAGGACAGTGCATGTGGAAAAAGAGAGGAAAGAGAAATGAGGGAAGTTTGCCCATTCAGGACCTTCAAACGAGTGGTAGTTACGGTGTGACATTGAAAGACCCAATTCACCCAAGAGATTTTAATCCAATTTGTATTCCCTATAATGTGACTGAACTGGAACAAGATTTTAAAGCTGGGTTGCTGGAAATATGTCTCATGAGCCTCTTCAGCTCTGCCTTTTTTATCTTCAACTAAAGGACCCAGGCAAACAGAGGACGAAGTCAGAGCTTTCATCAGCAGTGATGTTAATGTCTGTAAAGAAGAAAGTGTTCAAAGTGTACATGTATATTCAATGAATGATTACGCCAAAGTGTTTGTTTCTGTTAATACTGAAAAAGTGATGCCTACAGTTTCTAAAGAACTTGCAATTGAATTCCTCGAGTCTATTCCATTTAATGAAGAGCAAGCAGATATGATCAACAAGAAAACTGTCTTTCAATCCTAGTCTCAATTTTGGTTTGATCAAAGGGCAGGAAGAATTACAGCTTCCTCATTTTACACTGTGTGCCATCTTAGAGAGATCACAGACAGAAGAAACACTATTAAACATCTCATGAATTACTGTCCAATTGCTGAAGATGCCATGCCACGACAGTTGACATGGGGGCATGAGAAAGAAAAGCGAGCACTTAGACTTTACATAAAAAAAAAAAAAAACAGAACAAAAATCATGACAAGTTGTCAGTAGAAAAAAGTGGACTCATTGTAAACACATTATGGCCCTTCTTAGGAGCCAGTCCTGATGGTATAAGGATTTGTGCTTGCTGCCAAAAGAAGTTAATTGAAGTTAAAAGTATGTATGCAAAAAGAAATCTCCCACCACATGTTGCAGCTGAGTAGAACCTCATGCTTGTGGATGGCAAGTATGAAATTAAAAAAGAAACCAAATGGAACTACCAAATCCAGGGACTGATGGGGATAAGAGGGATTCATCGTTGTGATCTAGTTATATATACCCTCAAAGGAATATTGATTGTAAACGTTAAGTTTCATAGTGATTTGTGGAGTGAAATGCTCCAAAAGCTGAGAAACTTCTTCGTGGAGTATACAGTTCAAGAACTATTCCACCATGACATACTTAAGTCATTATAGAGTGACTGCCGTTAGATGCTGATTGTAAAAGTGAAGGTGCTTAAATAGTGTTTTTGGTCTGTGCTGGATTAGATACCACATAATTTTATTGATCTGTCTCTGGATACGTTTAATACATGTTTCATTTACCATTTACATACACTAAGTTGCAATCACTTCCACGTCATAATAACTTGGTCTGCTTTTCTGCTCTCTGGACAAATGCGTCAGTCATTTGGCCAGTGGTGGTAGCAAATTACACAGAGCAGCACAAACACTTAGAATATTGTCTGCAATGAGTAGCATTTGAAGAAGGAAGTTCCCTTGTAGAATTCTAAAGTCCTTAAGACGTCCAATAGCACGTTCAACGTGGATCCGAACACTTGCAATGGTACAAGTAGATTTTACTGCCTTTTTTGAAAGTTGCTTTCCTGTGTAAGAGGAGAAAAAAGGATTTTGAATGAAGTAAATGCCAATTCAAAAGGTACTGATAGTAAAGTACTTGCTTTTTTGGAAACCTTTTTTCCAAACAAAACCTGTACTAAATTATTGGATGGGTGGAAGTGGCAAACCGCTGCCTCACACCAGCTCTTTCTGAATTTTCTGGATCCACCCCTGCTATGTAAACATGTTTGGAAGTTAGTAGAGACTACCTTTATCTTTACCTTTATCAGTTCAACTTAACCCTATAATATAAAAAATATTCCTGAGAAACCTCTTCTGTTTAGTTAGAAAGATCCTTTTTACAAGCAACAAGTTATGGTTGCTGTTATATTTGTTTTTTTTTTTTTTTTTCTTTTTCCAGGGAGACCTTCGCTTTGATCTTAGCATACCCTCTTCCACCCCTACCCCATTAGCTCCCTTTATTGGAAAGGTACCTTTGCAAAGTGGTGGGATATTAAGTGCAACTTTCTTTCTTGTAAGCAGATCTCTGATTTTGAACCCCTTGTCTGCCATAACAGAATCTCCCTCTTCAAGTTTGTCCAGTAGACCACTTCTTTCTGTGATGTATCTGTCACTGACATTTCCAGTCCATAGTTTAGAAACAAAGGAGAAGTAACCTGTTGGAGTGATTCCCACCAGTGCTTTCATGGTATTGTGCTGTTTATAGTTACTCCATGTAGCTCTCTGAGGGGATGTTGGCTTTTGCAAAAATATCTCTGTGCAATCTATTATTATTCGAGTGCTTGGAAATTTATTAAAAGAACTTGGCAACTTTTTCTTAATTTCTTCCTTACAAGGCCATTTAAGAAGAATGTCACGAAAAACTGTAGATAAAAAGCAAATCCACGTTGTGAAAACTTTGCTAACTGATCCTTCTGATACCCCAAAGATATCTGTAAGATGTCTGCTTAAAAGCCCAAGTCTGAGTCTCACCAAAGTTAAGATAAATTCCTCCATAATGGTCAGTAGTCTTTGCTTTCCAGGCTTTTTTTTACTTGAATCTTTTTGATAGCTTACTTCTTTTTCTTTGTTTTTGTCCCAATACTTAAGTTTTTCTGCAAACGGCTTGAGCAAATTAAATATCATGATCATAAAGCAAGCAAGACTAGGTATACCCGTAAAAATTTGACAGACTCGTCATCAGGGCGGGGGACTCGAAATTTAAACGATGTTCTCAGGATCAGCAAAGGGGGAGCTACTTCCCATACATTCTCTTAAATGAAATTTAAACGATGTTCTTGCCAGCGGGATTTGTGTACTGATCATGCGCATTACGTCAAAAACCATAGATCAATGGTCTTGAGAAAAAACAAAAACATGGCAGTCGAAAGCGGGACTGTTTCTCACTATTATATTTTGGTAATTCGCAAATTTTTTGATTTTATGTCGCTTTTCAGACATAGTGTGTGGTTTTCTTTTTCTGTTAAACAATTTCCCTCTGCAGAGTTTGGAATATGCAACATATAGCTCCGTATAGCTGCTAAGAAAAGGCCGCCGAAGAGTTGAGCATGATATGATTTTTTTCAATTTTAAGCATTTCTGATTTCCTCTGCCGGTTCGCTTCTTCCTTCTAAAAAGTCTAAAAATATTTACTGCGGGCAAAATACTGTAATTATCCGCTGACCACCACGCCGGGTGACCGCTTTGCAAGTTGTGAGAACATTGTTTCTCGGTCCCAGACCTCGTCTCTTTTCACGGGAAGAAACACGACATTGGTGGGTCGAGGGATTAAAATATTTCGGTAATTCACCTGGAATAACTTCTTTTCTTCCGCAAAGCGACTTTTTGATGGATGAAGCCTCGAAGTGTGCGCTGCAAATCCGAGGGTTTTTTTTGATTTTGGAATTCGGGATCACGACGTCTACAGAAGTTTTTCCGTAGCCTTCTAAAATGCCCTTCCGAAGGAAAACAGAAAAAGGAAAGATCCGGACGATTCCTTGAACTGTTCAAGCAGTTTGCCACCGAACAAAAATTCACCATGACTTTTGCAAAACTTGGAGCATTTCAACTTACAGTGAAGACAGTGAATGCATTTCTATTTTTTTATTTTCCCAGCGGTCCTCTAAGCCTCGTTTACATGCAAGTACCTAGTTCTCAGTAGGGCGCGTCCGATAATTTCGAAAGGACCCTATTGCATGGTAGTAAAAAACGTATGTACGTTAGGCTCCGTCCACACGTATCCAGATATTTTTTAAACCGCAACTAGTTCTTTCCGGACACGGCTTCCGTCCACACGTATCCGATGAATCTGGCATACGAATCCGCTATCCAGAGTGGAAATCTTTTAAAACGCTATTATTCCGGAATCGTGTGAACGCTAAATCCGGATATTTTTTTATCCGGTGACGTAACAAGATCGAGCCCAGTTCTTTACCGTGAATACTGTATTCAAGATGCAACCAAGACGCATGCTCTGTTGCCAATATTCCCAGAGGAGTCCTGGGTACTAGAGTGAATCCGGATACGTGTCGGATACGTGTGGACGGGCAAATTTTTGAATCTGGAAAGCAAAAATACGTATGGGCAGCTCCTTATTCGCTTCGTGCAACAATTGTCCAGGGTCTTGCGTCCATTCATTTGGCCACCTCGTTCAACACTAAGCAACTTGGTCCAACATGTTGGAGCTCCATGCTGGATGTAGCCTGCGCCACAGACGAAACTAAACTCTGGTTAAAGGAGCTGTGTCACGTCACGAATTTCATCAAGATTCTCACAGCAGGAGCTGCCACCAAAGTGAGTGAAACATGAAAATAACGGCGCAAAACATGAAAAGAAGGTATTAATGACATAGTAAATACAATAATACGCACGGATGGACAAACTTGAAGAAGATTGACACGGATTACAATTGTGGGCTTTTGAAAACTTGTTAGCCCAACAGTTTTAAAAAGTTCATTTTTTTATTGTTTTTAACGTTTGATATAATGCTTGGAAAGGAAAATGGACAAGGAAATGTGATTTGCACGTTTACAATTAATTTCTTAGTTAACGTTAAGTTCAATAACGCATAAGGAAGCGTAGTTAGCAATATTAACAAAATGAACGAGACCGCGTGATACAGCCCCCTTAAGTCCGTGTTACTAACCGAGGTTAAATTACCTCTGGGACCCCCGTTATGTTGGATGATGCTGCAGCCGTTTACCGGGCCTTCAAGCTTCGAATGAAACACTTGTTGATGCTAAATGTATGTTACAACAGGCATTTAGACGAATTGACCTACAGCTGCCTGAACTTTAAAACAAGGACTGCAACATCAACGTCTCTATTTATATCTTTAAAAAATCCGGATATTAGATGGCTAAAAGGTTGGAGTGGAAGGTTTGTTTATAGTGGAAAGTACACTTAGCTTATCCAGCAAGTTAACAGGCACTAGTCCACTCATATATTTAGAAACAAATAATCCAAACAGAACATGACAGGATTGAAAACCCCGACTGGCAGGAGGGCAACAAGCTGGCTGTTTACAAGAGTGGCCGGGAATTTGATCTCGGGACGACTGGGAACAAATCCAGACAATGAACAGAGCGGGACTCGAACCGGGACCGTCGGATTGCAAGTCCAACGCGCTGACCACTCGGTCACACTGCCTCCCACAGTATAGATCTGCTCCGCGTTACTCCAACAAGTGTCTTGACTTTCTTATCGCCGATTTTTAGCTCATTGAAATTAAGAGGTCACTGCTTTATTGGCGGACACTGTATATAAAACTCACTTGCAAGCATTTCGGCAGTTTCTACATTGTACCATTCAAGCTTGCGTCAGCCTTGTTTGATCTCAAGACCAACTTGGTTGTAATGACGTTCCAGAACCCGCAAACATGTATTTAAATTGTCGTCAATATATGGTTTTTGAACTAGACCCCGAACGTTGAGTCCCTGTAGATCATGCTTAAAAAGGGCCAAATTAGTGCTCAGTGACACGGAAATATTTGAGCATATGTTTAACTTATTTCCCGCCGCTTTATGTGACAAGCAGTAACTTGCTAGAATTTTTGGAGTTAGGAAATTATTTCCAGGATGTCCATGGAAAGCTGTTTGAGGTGCGGACAAAATAGTCACTACACGTTCTGGTCCAATGGTATGGCCATTTGGAAACCCTTTGTTATATTCCGAGAGGTCATCACAGATCTCGAAATTACAGTCTTAGCGGTCTCGCTCAAAGGACCACGCATAACTGAGTATAATGCTGACTGGATAGAGAAAGCCCTGGTAGAAGGTCCTGAAGGCCTCTTCAAAGTTTCTGGTCTTAAATCTCTCCAGGATGTGCTCTCTGCAATAAGTAAAGGTGTCCCAGTAGATATATACCGGAAAATAGGTCATGGAATCAACGACAAAATGGCAGCCCCAGGACCAGTTCTGTAGTCCTTCAGTGCCCAGGTATATACCCAAGACCTCAACTGGAATGTGCAGCCTGTTCCCAATACTCGTAGCTTTGTGCCATTGAAAGTCGACGACTTAGTTACTGGGGTGAAAAACGCGGCGTCTGTGTCCATCCACGCAATAACGGAGTCATTCGAATACAAGTCAATAAAAAAACTGCTCCAAAGCTGCCGGTTGTAGCCTGGCGACTTGAGCGAAGCTGGAAAATCCAACGTATTTCTGTGTCTTGGAGGAGCTTCTTAAAGAACTTCAAGCTTACGGTCAGGAAAGTACTTTTTTGTCTCACTTATTACCTTATCGCCAAATTCATGATCCTCCCTCGCTTCATCATCAAGTACCGTGACTGTCTTTCCATATGAAGAAAGCCAGTAAAGAACGGTTGTCCTGAATAGATCGCAGAGATAACAACGTCTATGATCTGGTAATTTGCCAGCCATTCTAACAAATAGTCTTATTGGGGTGTCTGTGGTGGCTTTGGTTGTCGCTAACTTTGCCGTGCTTTTTGCTGCTTATGGTGTTAGAGGAAGAAGTGACCCTTCTCACCAACTTATTTGTTGGGAAGCCTGTGGTGGCTTTGCCTGTCACAAGTCCTGTTTGCCCGACTACTAGTCGTAGGGGCGCTGTTTTCATAAACACCTTTTTGGGAGATGTGGGGTCACTTTGGTTTTAGCGAGGTTTCGTCCCATTTAAGGGAATTCAGGACATTCTTGTATTCTGGATTCCACGCTGTGGATTCCGGATTCCGGGTACTGGATTCCGGATTCCAGTACAGTGGATTCCGGATTCCAAAAAAGGGCTGGATTCCAATTTTTTACTGTTTTAATGCTTTTCTTTGCATTTCGTTTTCGTGTTCGAATCTTGCTATATTGAAAGACGTTGTTAGAACGCATAACAAGTTTGTTTTCTTTTTCGATTTATAAATTACGGGTTGAATTTATTACAGTTCTGTAAGGGTTTATGGTATAATAAGGAGGGGGACATTGGGGGACTGTCCACACCGCAACACCGCGGAAACTGAAAATAACAAACACCGCATCACCGCAAAAAAACGTGGCGAAACACCGACATCCCAATTTTAAATTTTGTCCTTAAATTAATCTAATCCAAATCTCCATACAATTAAGGATTGAGGATCTCGGAGCTGGTTAGCGATTAGTAGAGAGTAAGACTGTCCTCAAGACTTTATTTTTTGCTTACTCTATTTTTGCGAACTCTATTTTCAGTCATGCAGATAGAAAAATGCTTAATTAACAGAACTAAAAAGAACTCTTGCAAATCATTCCTAAATATATTCACGTTTATTCATTTGATTGCTGCATAATAAAGTATAAATGGGAAAAGGTACAGTCATTGCCAGGGAAAATTGATCTGCAATTTGCAAGAAAACGGCGTAACAAAGTTCGTGTGTAACTCCAAATCAATTTTTCCTATCTATGCCATATCATAAACCAGCGCAGGTTAATCAAGTCTTTTGCTATCCACTAATAATATAATAGAAGGTTCATTTTGTTTGTATGTCGTTACATTCGTAGTTTTCCTTGTCCTATCCGAACGCTTAGAACAGGCTACGTCGAAACATGTTTTGGAACATTAAAACAGTATTTCGAAGTAATAGAATAAATATATTGAACAAAACGTTAAAAGCCGCCAATCGCTAATCGCCTCCAAACCATCATGAAGGAAGGCTTGGTTTCTTAACACGTATTTGGACATTGTTTTTCGTTCTCTTTTCACTTTTTATTGGAATCATTGTCATAGCGCAAAAAACTAAATTCGGTTACCACTCTTTTGTAAAACTTTCACTTATAGAGACACATGTACAGTAAGCTGTAGAACACACGCATTAGATATCACTTCTTAACTGAATTGCTTTCACACTTTCTCATATGACTCATAAGACACGGATTTTAGCCAAATACAATAAAATACACTTCCCCTAGGACGGGATAAGCATATATACTCAGTAAAAGATTGAACATCAAAAAGAGCACTACAGAAGATTAAATTGGACTCCAAGCTAACAAAAGTGTTGTCCAGGTCAGCACGGCCCTAAAGTGACTAAAGTTGTGTGTCACATAATTGTCTAAGAATGATAATATGGCTCAAAATAAATTTCGGAGAGTAGCCGGACCACGTTGATCGACATGCATTATTTGCCAGCTCCCTTTAGAAGATTTTTGATGCAGTGATAATATTGCTGTGAAGTATACATGAAATAATTCATTTTTGAACTGCGGTTGTAGATGCAAGTGAAGAATGATCACCGCCTGAAAAAACATCAGGGCTTCAACGTGATTCGAACCCGTGACCTCCGCGTTACCGGTGCGTTGCTCTACCAACTGAGCTATGAATTTCATGTATACTTCACATCATTTCACTCCTCACGGGAGATATGAACTCAATAAATTGACCTCGCTCCCAATGTGTGGCTTCATAGCTCAGTTGGTAGAGCAACGCACCGGTAACGCGGAGGTTACGGGTTCGAATCCCGTTGAAGCCCTGATTTTTTCAGGCTTCTTCTTTCCAGTTGCTTTGCAACATTTGCGGCGATGATCATGCTTCACTTTCAGTGATAGTATTACTTGGGTGTTTTTGTGTATTTATATCATACACCCAATGCAAGGCCATCTTGACAACAACAACAACAACAACAACAACAACAACATCTTTATTTCTTACATTAAATATACAAATATCACACCACCTGCAAATAGCAAGGCTAATCGAGGCAGGTGGTGTGTAGACGGCTTAAGATTTATTACGAAAACTTGAAGTGAAAAAGAACCATATTTATAATAAAAAAGGTCAGTCACGAGAGAAATTGAGATAAGAAAATCGAGGCAGCTATTTAGATAAGCGGGGCTAATATTTTTTAAAATCGGAGATTATCGTGTTTAGGTCAGCATATCTATCCTGAACTTCAAATATTTTCAACAGAATTGTATGAACTTTTTCCTTAAAGAGAGATTTTGAAGAATTTCGTAAATTTTCAGGTATACTATTCCAAATTTTGGCTCCCATAATAGAAAACGAATCATTTTTCTGATTTAGTCTAGAGTGGCTAATGTAATAATTTCCAGAAGAGGAGGAGCGAGTGCTGTAAGAGTGGATTTGTTGAGTAGGAATAAAGAGATGTGAAATATTATGAGGGGCAGTGTTATTGTAAACATCAAACATTAACATCGAAGAAAGCTTAAAATAGAGCATTGTAATAGGCATAATATTAGAGTGTTGACTTTTCTAGATCAGGCATTGCTTGAAATTGGACTGGAGCAGACATTTTTGTTTCCTTCCTTTTCAGGCAAATGCCTGAGTTAACGTTCTTGCGAATGTTGATTTTTTTTTTTAATTCTAAAAAGAGGACAACCCCTCGAGGTATAGCTAAATTCTCGAAAATTTTTTCATGAAAGTTTTCTTTCTGGGGAATATGGTATAGTTTCATTAAGACCAATTTTTTAACCTTACTAGCAAGCCAAAAATATTTTCATGTAGGGAGACCCACAGAAACATTTTCAAGGAAAAATAGGGGAAAACCTATGAATTCATAAGCTGTCAAAACCATCTGTAAAGGTTTTTCCGCCGCATGCATTTGGGTAAAAAATGTATATACAGTATTCTCTCTTGATAAATTTTGTGCTCAGTAATTCTCTTAAAAATTTACAAGCATGAAGACTAACGGCTGCGAGCATGAATAGGGCACCATTTTTAGCACTTGAACATGTCGTTCGAGCAGCCAATATATGTTTCAACTCAAGTCAACTGGCAGCTGTGTTTGTTTATTGGCACGAGATTGGCTTGGTACCTGATGCCGATATGGTTTCTGATTCGTGGTTTTCGTTACATTAAACTAATTTGTCTAACCTGACAGAACTCGAAAACGCTTTATAGCCCAGCTGTTACAGACCAGAATTGTTCACTTTTAAGATAGAAACATGAAAATTTGTCAAATTACAACCAACCGTAAGACGAACATTTTTGGACATGGATCCAGCCCTAATTCACCACTGGAGTACTGCGCAAGCCCTAAAATGGCCCACGTGAAAACAGCCATAATTTTCCTCATTCAACGCACAATGTGAACGGCCAAATGCAGCGGGTTTGGTAGACAATCAAGCTACCGCTATATATCCCCAAGGAAGCGAACTTAAAAAAAAATGTCTCACATACAATTCGTATGAAAGCATGTGTGCATTAAATTTCCCAATGTTTATTTTCTCTTCGTTTTCACCGCATAATTACAGCGAGGCAAACACGTGGCGGATTCAGTTTGCAGTTAAAATGGCGTTTAAACGTTCGATTAATAGAGCTTTGTCGCTCACGTGGTCAGCAGCTATGCAAATTTGTTTAAACAAAAGACAGTTTTTACCTTACAAAAAAGGATCAACTCCCAAAGGACTGGTTTGAGGCACCGAAATGGCCGCTGTTTCATGGTCTTGGGACAACAATATGCCGTGACGTCGTGCGAAAACGCTTTATTATAGTTGACGTAAAAACAGAATTTTAACGATGGAAAATTTGTTTGATTCACTTTTATTTGACAAGCTCTTTGCATGTTCAAACAATAACAGCGTCAATAATGCTAAATGTGCCATGAAAGGAGTACTTTAGAAAACTTTAACTCGGTTTCGAGCAGGACAAGGCCATAAAGGCCAGAATGTTGCAAGCTATAGTTTACTTAAAAAGTAATTGCGGCTAGTACGCAATAAAAGGAAAGAGATATCATAGTCTACAGGTATATGGTAAAAAAATTTCAGTCACCATCTCGGTGTCTTTTGAATGAGACAGCGAATTCTTAATGTTCTTTTAGTACAAATGTTTATCTCTACTTTGAGCAGAAAAACGTTTTTTCCTACGGATGGCTAATGCCTTGAATTTAATTTAGACGCGGTGAATGCATATTCAAGAGAAAGTTATTTTTCAAATGAAATGCGATTATTATGTTTGCTTGCATGCAGCAATATGTCAATATCGAAATCTAAATATACAAGAAAACGTTAAATTGCGCTATTTCATGTCTTATATAAACCCAGAACAGGTTGAATTTGCAATCGCTCATTTAGGAACCTAAAAGCTCGATTCAATGTCTTCATATCATCCCCAAAGCTTTATATGAAAAAGTTGAAGTTATCCGCTGACAAGGTACTGGTTTTCAAATGATCGCAGGCTCTAAAGTTAACTGAAGTGGAATACAAGTTTATAGTTTGATTTAAATTATAAATTAATTAATGGGAGCCTCGCTTTTAGCCCTGGCTAAATCTTTATATTACAGTATTGCCTCTTCAATTTTCCTGCATGACTTTCATAACTTAGCAACTACAGTAATTGAAAATACGTAGTGTAAGTAGTGACAAGCAGCAAAGACGACAGCGAAAAGGCCAGGTAATTAGAAGCAGAAACTTATTGCTAACAGAAGTCGTAATTCATGTACAGCATAAAGAAAACTGTCTACCTGGCCATGAGCGGATTTTTCACTCCCAGACTCAAAGTCTCAAAGTCTTTAGCCGCTGTATCATTACATGCGGACTATTTACAATTCAGGGGCACCCAACGTCAATTTTTAGAAAATATCTGTTCGGAAGACGATTTGAGATCTAGAATATTCGGAACATTTGTTGTAAAATTTCTTGCTAGTCTGCCTCTCCTAGGATTTTCGAACATCTAAAAAATGGTATAGTTGCCCATTTTTAACAGATTTTTACCTTAAAAAGGTCACCTAGAAGTATTCGGGAGCCTTTTTCCTGGCCGAAAATTTCGAAAAGGTAATTTTTGATCCCTAAAATTTTCGGATCACTAGACTTTCAGCTACGAAATCCGAACAGATGAAAATTTTTAGGGGATAAAAATATGCCTATGTCTACCGTTTAAATACTACAATACGTTCAACTATGCTATGTGTAAGTGGTTTTGAACTATATTCTCGTTGGGTGCCTCTGCAGAAAGACAACGCTTGAGTCGTAACCCATGCCATCTTTAATAACAAGGGTAATAATAGCTCTGATCGATCCGATTTTGTCCATGTTTTTGACACTCTTAGGCTACGTCTGGGCTGCCTGTGTTGGTACTAGCTCACCAGCAAATGCTGCAGGGATGGGAGAGGTGTGTTTGTGCATCGGGGCATTTGACCGACGGTCTGGACGCTTGGTTACACTAATCGGATAGGTAAATATGTGGCGCGATATTGCTTTGTTTTTCAGGGGTTTTTGTTCCATTCAGTGTTAATGCGACTGAGTTCTACAATATTACCCGTGTTTCTGGTCTCAACAACCCAATGACTGGCAATGATTTATAACAAGAAACGAGTCATAATTGTTGCCCTTATCTTCGCTTCTGCTCCGGCATGGATGGTTTTTGCCTACTTCACTATCACTTTCCATAATCAGGAACGCCCATCAGAGCTACAAAATGCACCTACCTTGGCAAATACTGCCCCTATAGTCATTATGGCAGCATTAAAAAATCAAACAGAAATCAACGACACAGATGACTCAGATGTAGACGAAACTCTCCATCAACTGATTGATTTTAAAGACTTGGGGAAGGATAAGAGAGCAGTATTGCTATTGATCATCGTTTCCACTGCAACAGCAAGATTTGAGAGAAGACAGGCAATAAGAGAAACATGGTGGAAACATTGTTCTGGCAATCAGACTCAGGTAAGCAGGCAAGATAGGTTCTTTGTCGCCAGTTATCTCACGATCTCACGATGATGTTTCTTTCAGTAATAACATTGGTGACGAATTACTCCTTAATTTTGGCCCGAAATTTCAGCGTTAATTTGTAATTTCACATTTGAAATTACAAAATTGCCATGGCGACCCTTCCGTACGTCTGAGTGTCAAGATGGCGACGAAGTTTTAAAATGTCATGAATGAAGATGTCAGGGCACAAAAATTAAAGACGCTTTGGAAAAACTGAACACACAAGAGAACTCAAGAAGGATTCTAAGAGGTATTTTGCCGAAAAAGTCTGAAAAATTCTGAACTTTATAAGCCAAATTTAAGGTCTAAACATTTGAGAGAGTGGAGTTCTCGATCGATACGTTCCAGGATAGACATGTCAAAAATCCAAGATTGCTAACGTAATTCGTCACCCATGATATTAATAGGTAATCAAATGGTATACTCGTGAAATTAGGGATTCATTTCACTTGCCTTTTGTCCAAATCCTAATAATCCTAATAGTTGCCTAGGCCTCATTTTCTTGGCCGCCCGTTGATCTGGCCCGGTTACTTCAGCGAGCATATTCTCGGCCTTTTTGGATTACATCCTTCGAGTTTGTCAAAGTCTGCGGGATTCGTTTTTCCATCTGGGAAAGCTTCATTGGTTTCTATATCTGCTGATATCCTATTACTACGATCCTGGCATGTTTATTTTCTGTTGGAGTTCGAATTTCGTGGAAAAAGTTGTGTTGAATGAGAGCATGGCGGCGAAGATGGAATCTTTTGTCTCCTACTGCTTGTATATTATAATTGTATATAGAGTGAATTTGAACAAATTAGTACAAATTATCACGAAACTTCGTTGGAGTAATAGGGACAACAACAACTAACTGCAACGTAAGTTTCATTGACTTATATTTAGTATTTCCTACCAATTTTACGATCGTATTTTTACCCAATACAAACACTGTAATTTTACTAGAATCGTACTGTGGTACTATCACAGAGCCTGGGTTAGCTGTGGATAAAAATGAAAATTTGTTATGATCAGGGTTGCAACTACATCGGAGTTGTCATAGCAACGAAATGACGCTATTACCTATTTTACTTGCAGCAATATATCTCGGCCGCTAGGAACTGTTCTTCCAAAATCGTTCGCGGTTGCTTTTTCCTTTAATAGCGGCCTCGATGCTCGTCAAGTTTAAGCCAAATCTGTAAGAGCGTTATCGCGACTATTATGGGATGAAGTCTTTTTTTATGGCTAGAAACACAGTTAAAAATGGACAACCTTGATGTTTGGCCGTTATCTGTACAAAACAAAGCGCTTTAGACATGCAATTTTACCTCATGGTAGTTTCAACCTTTTTAAAAACGTTTGTGAAAGATCATGGAGATAACTCCAGCCGATTGCGAGAAAGAAGGATTTGATTACTAGGTATCGAAACGCTCTTGTTAGCGGTTTTGTAAACATTTTGGTCTTCTTTAACAAATTAGCGAATAATTTTTAAACCGCTCCATACATTTTTTTTTAAAATTTAAGATTCTCGAGACTAACTTTCCTTTAATATGACCTTTTACTTTCAATATTATTGATAAATTGTAAGGCAGTAAAATAAGGGCTACAATTCGTTTTTTTTGTTCCGGGAAAGCTCGATGTGGGATTTCTATTCTATGGACATGAAGTGCTGCAAGTAGAGTGCGTGATAGTCAAGTACAAAGCTACCAGTCTAAACACATACGTAACGTAGACGGGTAGTTAAAGTTGCTTCTAGTAGTAGTCGAAGGTTAAATCATTGATATCTCAAGTATTTATAAAGTGCAACACGACTTCATATCTTAACAACTACGAAAATCTATCAATTAAATACATACAACAGTAGTATAGGGTGCACCACGGTTTCCACTTTTTTGAGCAGGAATCTCATAAGCGTGAGCAGGAATAAATTAAAGCCAATGACGTCATAGGCTATTGTCTTGATCTCATGAATAAAATGCGCAGGAATCTCATTAAGATAAGGTCGTGTGTTATTTTTAGTTGGTTTAGGTTTTCTAGTTACTTTAATGTCGATAGACGTCTTCCTTTTCGATTGGTTAGTTAGAAAATAAGAAACGTTTTCATTGGTTAATTCATAGTGTCTAAGGAGTAAAGTCAAACTTGTCTGTGACTTAAAATCACTGAGACGTAACGTAATTATGCACTTCCTATTTCCTGCTGCTGTGATTGTCCTGTTACTTACCCCTCTCCTTTTCATTTTTTATTTTCCTCCTCCTCCACAATTTTGTTATTTTCCTTCCGCAATTTTTTTATTCCCATTTTTCTTTCCTCCTCCTCCTCATTTCTGTTGTTTTCCCTACACCACCACCACCACCACCGCCACATTTCTATTGTTTTCCCTCCACCACCACCACCACCGCCACATTTCTATTGTTTTCCCTCCACCACCACCACCACCACATTTCTATTTTTTTTCCTCCACCACCACCACCACCTTCCTTGTTTTCCTTCCTCCTCCTCCTTTTTTTTTATTTTTTCCTCCTCCTCCTCCTCCTCATTTTTTGTTTTTTCCTCCTCCTCCTCCTCATTTTTTATTGTTTTCCCCTCCTCCTCCTTCTCATTTTTTTGTTGTTTTCCTCCTCCTCCTCCTCATTTTTATTGTTTTTCCTCCTCCTCCTCCTCCTCCTCCTCCACCTCTTCCTCATTTCTATTGTTTTCCCTCGAAAGGCCAAAGGGGCCAAAATCAGGCCTAAACGGCCTAAAAAGGCCAAACTTGCAGGGAAAACATCAGAAATGAGGAGGAGGTGGAGAAGGAGAAGAAGGAGGAGGAGGAGGGAAAACAATAAAAAATGAGGAGGAGGAGGAGGGGGAGGAAAAACAATAAAAATGAGGAGGAGGAGGGAAAACAATGGAAATGTGGCGGTGGTGGTGGTGGAGGGAAAACAATAGAAATGTGGTGGTGGTGGTGGTAGTGGTGGAGGAGGGAAAACAATAGAAATGTGGTGGTGGTGGTGGTGGAGGGAAAACAATAGAAATGTGGCGGTGGTGGTGGTGGTGGAAAAACAATAGAAATGTGGTGGCGGTGGTGGTGGTGGTGGTCGTGCAGGGAAAACAATAGAAATGAGTAACAGTGGTGGTGGTGGAGAGAAAACATAGAAATGTGGCAGTGGTGGTGGTGGTGGTGGTGGTGGAGGGAAAACAATAGAAATGTGGCGGTGGTGGTGGTGGTGGTGGAGGGAAAACAATAGAAATGAGGAGGAGGAGGAGGAGGAGGAAAGAAAAATGGGAATAAAAAAATTGTGGAAGGAAAATAACAAAATTTTGGAGGAGGTGGAAAATAAAAAATGAAAAGGAGAGGGGTAAGTAAAGCATTGCTTGCAGTGTATAAAAGAGCTAGTTTGCCTTTGCCCTCTTTAATAAACACGATTTGTCCGCCAAAAATCAGTGAACCGGAACAAGGACAATCACAGCAGCAGGAAATAGGAAGTGCATAATTACGTTACGTCTCAGTGATTTTAAGTCACAGACAAGTTTGACTTTACTCCTTAGACACTATGAATTAACCAATGAAAACGTTTCTTATTTTCTAACTAACCAATCGAAAAGGAAGACGTCTATCGACATTAAAGTAACTAGAAAACCTAAACCAACTAAAAATAACACACGACCTTATCTTAATGAGATTCCTGCGCATTTTATTCATGAGATCAAGACAATAGCCTATGACGTCATTGGCTTTAATTTATTCCTGCTCACGCTTATGAGATTCCTGCTCAAAAAAGTGGAAACCGTGGTGCACCCTATACTACTTACAACAAAGTGAATCTATTTAACCGTGGAGTCCCAGTAACTGCGACAATATTCCCGGAAACGTAACGCCTCAATACACCACAAATAGGATTTCCCGCTATAATATTTTCTTATCCTACTCGGGGTATTTACTTCATAATACGCGTCCATAATAACGCGAAAATCAAGGGCCTCGATTCGGGGAAAATTACATCATTGCCAAACAGCAAAAACGTAATCAACTTACATGCGTCATTTCAGTCATCGCCAAAAATAAACCGCATGCTCATCACGAGACTCATTTGCATACAATGAAACTCATCACCATTCTTATCCCCAGTTTCCACGGTCTCTTCTAGGAACGCTTGGGAGCATGGCGTCCTAACTTGTGCCCACACACAAACAAAAATAAAGAAACGTCTGCATTTTTAGTCTAGCTGTGCTAAAGCAAGCTCTACTAAAAAGCTCCTCAATGAATCATTGGCGAAGGTGCCTTGGTTATAAATAGAGAAAACAGAATTGAAAGTCGTGAATCTGCTTTTCCAGAAAACGTTTAGTTTCATCATTTCATCATTTTTACCTCACCAAAGTATGGAATGTGTGTGAAAAGAGAGCTACACAACGGTAAGAATACTATTGACCAACAACATACAGAGCAGGGGCAGCTGTAGTGTCAACTATGTATGTGTAATCAAATGGTGACGAGTGAAATTAGGGAATAATTTCACGCACGTTTTGTCTTAGGCTCGGGAAATTATTAGGATTTGGACAAAACGCAAGTGAAATTATTCCCTAATTTCACGAGTATACCATTTGATTACCTATTAATATCATGGGTGACGAATGACGTTAGCAATCTTGGATTTTGACATGTTTATCCTGGATCGTATCGATGGAGAACTCCTGCACTCTCTCGAACGTTTAGAGCTTAAGTTTGGCTTAAGTGGTTCAGAGTTTTTCGACAAAATACCTGTTAGAATCGTTCTTGATGTGCTCGTTCGTGAGTTCAGGTTTTCTAAAGCGTCTTTTTGTGCCCTGACATCTTCATTCATGACGTTTTAAAACTTCGTCGCCATCTTGACACTGAGACGTACGGAAGGTTGCCATGGCAATTTTGTAATTTCACATGTGAAATTAGAAATTAACGCTGAAATTTCGCGCCAAAATTAAGGAGTAATTCGTCACCTATGATATTATACTAGTAATACATGTACTCTAGAGAACCGTTTCTTTCAAATTTCGTCTTATTCTCGTGCATATCTACGCATAATTTATGAAAAGACAAAGGTTCACGTTCCCCTGAGAGCTCTATTGGGAAAACAAAACACACAAGCGAAAGAGGTCTATTAACGGGCCCGAAAAGCTGTTGTCGTTTACATTAAAGCTCGAGGTTTCAGTAGGTTTACAGATAATATGATACAACTATCAGTATATAATCTGAATATTTGATTTCGGGCCCGTAAAGTTACCGGGACTTTCGAGAAACGGGCCCCAGGAGCATAGTCCTTGGAGTCTCGGTTCAGTCAATCCTGGGCCGGGTTGTTCAAAGCAGGGTTAAGATAACCCAGGGTTAGTGCGAGGTACAAATTCAGATATGAAAGCTTAAAAATCAAATTCAGTGTAATTCTTTTAGCCTGTAATGTACTAAATTGATGCTCTATAACGAATAGTGAAAATTATCCGGCAAAATGCTTTTGAACGAAAGAACAAGAAACCCAGAATAAACCTTAATCCTGAGTTACGATTAATGGGCTTTCGAACAAGTGGGCCCTGGAGTCTACTATGAGCTGTGACGTCATCGACAGAGACTCGCCCGCTCTTTTCCAGACTTCGCGCGGACAACGGGCAACACAGAACGCCTAGGGACTAGGCTGGGGTCCCAGGGCTTTTCTCTTGGACTCTGGGAGGGTCCCATCCCAGATTTACACGAGAAAGGCCCTGAAGATGGCTTACACGACACCCGAGACATAAGGGCAGTTCTGACCTCGTGGGTGTAACTTGAATTTTTCTTTCTTTAGGTGGAATGCGTCTTCATGACTGATGGACTCATAACAGACCAAATTCAACATAACCTTATTTTAAAGGAAAAGGATAAATACAAGGATATTAAGCTCCAGCCTCTTAAAGGAGGCCGTGGGTGGTTTGGATTCCGCTTCCTTAACCAAATCAAATGGGCAGTGGCGAAATTTAACTTTCAGTACCTACTTAGAATTGATGATGACTACTTCTTGTGCCCAAAAAGGCTTCTTTCTGAGCTTCCATTGAGACCAAAACAAAATCTAGTTTGGGGATTTTTCCACTGTCAAGCAAGAAACACATGGGTGGATGATGCATTTATGATATTCTCCGAAGATGTTATTCAGAAGTTCTTGGCGCAGAACGAAAGCTCGATGTTGTGTCATCCACAAGCGGACCAACAAGTCATGTTGTGGCTGAGCAGTATTCTAAACATAACATACTTCCACGATACCAGGTTACATCATCAGCCTCCAGCGTCATATGTTCCTCGATTTAGTCACATCTCGAATGTTTGTGACTCCCATTTAGGCGCGCATGGGGCATATGGCGAGACCATGTATTATCTGGGGCTAAGAGCTAATGACAACGCTAAAGATGTTTCAGCTATTCCTGATTTTGCAAAATTTTGTAAAACCACAAAGTTTGATCACCGTGCATTTCGTGGTGTGTGGCGACATGAACCCCAGCCCTGCAAAGATAACCCAGCGTGGGACTTGGGAGATAAAATGTGGTTTGGTAAGGAAGTTGTTCAAGGAGTGTAATCTGGAAATTAATTTTTAAAAAATAAAAACGATAGAGGGCCGTGTTTTACAGGATGTCAAAGAGTGGAATTTCCTTGTCATGTTTAAATTCAATGGTAAATCAAAATTTGATACTGTTGTGACTATTCAAATGCTGCGAGAACCTTTAGCACAATGACGCCTTAACCTTATATATATCAACGCGCCGAAACCAAACTAGAAGAGAATTGTTAAACAATAAAAATGGAGGCGATGAAAAATGTTCGTAGTGCGCATGTTTTTGACTTAAAATTATTAAAGGACTTTTATTTGGTATTTGGGATTTATTACAAATTTCATTTGATTCGGGAATTATCTATAGGTGAAGGGAAATATCATTAAAAAAAACAATTTGACTTATTTTTCTTGGTGTTCAACTCCTACGCATCAGCACTGATCAAACGACATCCTCTCCCGAAATGAGAAAATGATTTCTGTTGATTCAATCTCCTTGGTCTTGTTGAAGGATAAAGTTGACTGAAGAGTTACGTTAGAGTCACTTGTGGCATTTGCCACGATATATGTTTTTAGATGAGTTGTTGTAAGCGTTCTTGTTGATTGGTTTGAGTAAGCTACTTCACTACTAGTAGGTTTGGTTCCTAAGTTAATTGATGATCGATAGAACGTTTCTCCTGACATGAATTCAGTGCAAAGGAGATGTACCAATTTGGTGCATCTCCGCAGTAACACTTCTGTTCATGAAATATGTTTAATTAGAGCCTTTGGCAGATGACAAAGCCTTGTTTATATTAAGTGTTTTGTCCAATTTAACATTTTTGACCTTAATCTGGTCTTCCTTCGATATTTACCAGGAAATGACTACCCTGTTTGTTTTTAACAGTTTTAAGCGTGTTTCTTTGAGTTTTTAACCGAATTCTTGGCAGTGGATAACTTTAATTGGGCTTAAGTGATTTTATAGGTGTTTTTATAGTTAAACAACTATTGTTTTAAATTCTGCGTTGTACTTTGAGCTGCATTTTTAATTTACCCTTTGAGTTTGCAATCCCGTTCGTGGTTAATTGATGGAAAAATTTTAGCCAATCATCTTCGATGAAGAAGCTTATCTGCAAATTGACAACAACCTTAGATTTTCAAACTGTAATTTTAGTACCTTCCTATCTGTTAATATGAAAAGTCTGTTTACTAGTATATACCTTGTAGTTTTTATATCGTTCTCCTAGTTTTATATTTGCCAGTTGACTTAAGCTTAATAGTGAAAACTTCGGTTGAAGAGTCATTTCGACAAAGCAATTATCTCGAAGGTTTTATGCTAATGAGACTGTTTTAACCAATCGGATCAGACTTACGCCAGCATTCGGTTTGCACTAAGCAGCTAGTTTCCTGGCTGATATAAAAATGGGTGTAACACTGATTTAGCAGAGAATTGTAAAATAGGAGTTGAGTTAACTTCGTGACATTGGACTAAAGAATAAAAAGGAGTCAATTGAACAAAGTAATCGTCTGTTTGTTGTGAGAACCAGATAGTTCCCCAGAAAGGCTCTTCAACAGAATGACAAACTTTCCCGTTCATGACCCATCTAGTTCTTTTAAATTTTAAGAAGAGAGTTACCGACAGGTATTTAGCCAGCATTTCGAGCTAAGTTTGATGGAAGTTGTGCTTATTTTCGGTAAAGTTAGCGAGTTTATGATTTTTTGCATGTTGCAGTTCGCTGTATATAAAAAATTTTTCCTGTGCCTTATTTTGGCCTTTGAAAACTGACTTACACCCAGTCCCGTTTTAACTTGGCAAATAGTCATTTCCCGGGTTGTAGGTGAATCCTTTTTCACATGTTTTTTTTTTCTTATTGGCATATAGTTATCTTTATCTGATGAAGTTAATAAAATAAAATTTTTTTTTTATTGAAAGAGCATACCAGTTTCAGTTATCTCTCAAAATTTGAGCCCGGTGTACCGAATAGGTCCCGAGAAAAGCCCAAAATTGACAAAGATTAACGTTTTGCCACCCAACAATTTAGCAGTATTTGATTGCTGCTATTTCCTTTGTTACTGATTACAAAAAGCTAAACTTGCACAAACTGCTCATATTAACCACCTCTTTCAATTTTTTAACTTAATAGTGAATTTCTATCCTACGGAAATGGACTTTTAATACTTTTCATGTTTTTGCAAAAAAAGAGAAATTTTGTTGTCTATGCACCTATAAACCAACCAACATGTGCAAAAAGGTGAAGTTTTCGCTAAAGGAAACTTCAACTTAAAGGCTTGGTTGAAACTCGTTGGAAATATGCTATCGCATGAGGAACTCGTGCCAAATGTGCACTTTTCTATAGAGGGCGCTTGAAAATAGGGTCCTTTCGATATTTTTGACCGCGCACTCCTGAGAACTAGGTAGTCGCATGTAAGCGAGGCTTAGAGGACACAAGATGGCTGACTCTGCTGCAGGCAATTTTCACTGTAAACCGGTTCCTTGGTTAAAAGAATACAAAGGGGCATTCAAAGCTCAGGAAAACGTAAGGTTGAACTGGTAGAACTTTGTGAGAAAAGTGAGGAGATGAAAGTCCCAAAAATTGCTGTATATAGGGTATGTATTTTCTTCTTTTGATTTCTGAAGCCTGTCTATGTGCTTGATATTCCATAAACATACGTTTGAGAATCAAAACGTTTGGTCTTTTCGGTTGTTTTTCTCTGTGACAGGTTTTGTTTTATTCAGATTCGAAGGTTTATATTTTCCTTGTAGCAGTTGTAACATGAGTAAAAAGTAGATGCCTCTTGAATTGAAGATCTAAATCAATGGATGCATTATTTTAAGTCTCAAACCTTCTGGATCATTTATGACTTCAGCACTAAATATTAAAACAGTAGTTCAAAGTCTGTGAGCCTAGTAACTGAACTTATTGGCTACTTTACAGTCTAGCAGTGTGAACAATAGGAGATACATATTTGTCATATTGGTCCTCCTTTAAACAGGGCAGATGGAGGTTGCCGGCACATAGCTGCAGCATTGTTTGATCTAGAAGCAAATGTGAGATTCAATGATCTCCAGTCATGTACATCAGGACAGTGCATGAGGAAAAAGAGAGGAAAGAGAAATGAGGGAAGTTTGCCCATTCAGGACCTTCAAACGAGTGGTAGTTAAGGTGTGACATTGAAAGACCCAATTCACCTAAGAGATTTTAATCCAATTTGTATTCCCTATAATGTGACTGAACTGGAACAAGATTTTAAAGCTGGGTTGCTGGAAATATGTCCTAGCTCTTCAGCTCTGCCTTTTTTATCTTCAACTAAAGGACCCAGGCAAACAGAGGACGAAGTCAGAGCTTTCATCAGCAGTGATGTTAATGTCTGTAAAGAAGAATTAGTTTTCAAAGTGTACATTTATATTCAATGAATGATTACGCCAAAGTGTTTGTTTCTGTTAATACTGAAAAAGTGATGCCTACAGTTTCTAAAGAACTTGCAATTGAATTCCTCGAGTCTATTCTATTAAATGAAGAGCAAGCAGAAATGATCAACAAGAAAACTGTCTATCAATCCCAGTCTCAATTTTGGTTTGATCAAAGGGTAGGAAGAATTACAGCTTCCTCTTTTACACTGTGTGCCATCTTAGAGACAGCACAGACAGAAGAAAGTCATTATTAAACATCTGATGAATTACTGTCCAATAATTGCTGAAGATGCCATGTCATGACAGTTGATATGGGGGCATGAGAAAGAAAAGTGAGCACTTAGTCTTTACAAAAAAAAAAGAACAAAAATCATGAGAAGTTGTCAGTAGAAAAAAAAGTGGACTCATTGTAAACACATTATGGCCCTTCTTAGGAGCCAGTCCTGATGGTATAAGGATTTGTGCTTGCTGCCAAAAGAAGTTAATTGAAGTTAAAAGCATGTATGCAAAAGAAATCTCCCTCACATGTTGCAGCTGAGGAGAACCTCATGCTTGTGGATGGCAAGTATGAAATTAAAAAAGAAACCAAATGGAACTACCAAATCCAGGGACTGATGGGGATAACAGGGATTCATCGCTGTGATCTAGTTATATATACCCTCAAAGGAATATTGATTGTAAACGTTAAGTTTGATAGTGATTTGTGGAATGAAATGCTCCAAAAGCTGAGAAACTTCTTCGTGGAGTATACAGTTCAGGAACTATTCCACCATGACATACTTAAGTCATTATAGAGTGACTGCCGTTAGATGCTGATTGTAAAAGTGAAGGTGCTTAAATAGTGTTTTTTGTCTGTGCTGGATTAGATACCACATAATTTTATTGATCTGTCTCTGGATACGTTTAATACACGTTTCATTTACCATTTACATACACTAAGTTGCAATCACTTCCACGTCATAATAACTTGGTCTGCTTTTCTGCTCTCTGGACAAATGCGTCAGTCATTTGGCCAGTGGTGGTAGCAAATTACACAGAGCAGCACAAACACTTAGAATATTGTCTGCAATGGGTAGCATTTGAAGAAGGAAGTTCCCTTGTAGAATTCTAAAGTCCTTAAGATGTCCAATAGGCCACTTGCTCTGAGAGCCCATGTCACCAATGCTTCCTTTAAACAATGAGTTGGAATCTTACTGATGCCAAAAATTGACAGAGCACATAATAATAATCATACCCCCGAAATTTGAGAGGAAACTCATTTAAGGGATATATTTAATGACACTTTGATTTTTCAACAAAGTAGTATGATTTGTATTGGCCGCCATGTTGGAGGGCATACTCTTGCCCTCCAACATGGCGGCCAAAACTACTTTTTGCTTATATCATGTTAAACGCATGATAGTTGCGCTCAGATGTGCTGTAAACGCTACCACATCATCTTTTCAACATTTTCCTTGAAGTTTAAGTGCAAAATTTGTGTTCAGAAAGAGGTAATTCATAATTTTAAAAATCACATTTTGGTCACGTGACCAGCTACGAACTTACTCATTTTAGGAAAATGGTGCGGGTGTGAAAAACCAAATAACTATTATTTTGTTCAAGATATGATCCCCTAATCGTTTTTCGAAGGCAAAATCATATAACTTTCATTTTCATAAAAACGATGTTACATGACCTCTTAGTGCAAATGGCCTATAGCACGTTCAATGTGGATCCGAACACTTGCAATGGTACGGGTAGATTTTACTGCCTTTTTTGAAAGTTTCTTTCCTGTGTAACAGGAGAAAAAGGATTTTGAATGAAGTAAACGCCAATTCAAAAGGTACTGATAGTAAAGTACTTGCTTTTTTGGAAACCTTTTTTCCAGACAAAACCTGTACGAAATTATTGGATGGGTGGAAGTGGCAAACCGCTGCCCCACACCAGTTCTTTCTGAATTTTCTGGATCCACCCCTGCTATGTAAACATGTTTGGAAGTTAGTAGAGACTACCTTTATCTTTGAGCAGTTCAACTTAACCCTATAATATAAAAAATATTCCTAAGAAACTTCTTCTGTTTAGTTAGAAAGATCCTTTTTACAAGCAACAAGTTATGGTTGCTGTTATATCTGTTTTTTTTTTTTTTTTTTACTTTTTCCAGGGAGACCTTCGCTTTGATCTTAGCATACCCTCTCCCACCCCTACCCTATTAGCTCCCTTTATTGGAAAGGTACCTTTGCAAAGTGGTGGGATATTAAGTGCAACTTTCTTTCTTGTAAGCAGAGCTCTGATGTTGAACCCCTTGTCGGCCATAACAGAATCCCCCTCTTCAAGTTTGTCCAGTAGACCACTTCTTTCTGTGATGTATCTGTCACTGACATTTCCAGTCCATAGTTTAGAAACAAAGGAGAAGTAACCTGTTGGAGTGATTCCCACCGGTGCTTTCATGGTATTGTGCTGTTTATAGTTACTCCATGTAGCTCTCTGAGGGGATGTTGGCTTTTGCAAAAATATCTCTGTGCAATCTATTATTATTCGAATGCTTGGAAATTTATTAAAAGAACTTGGCAAATTTTTCTTAATTTCTTCCTTACAAGGCCATTTAAGAAAAATGTCACGAAAAACTGTAGATAAAAAGCAAATCCACGTTGTGAAAACTTTGCTAACTGATCCTTCTGATACTCCAAAGATATCTGTAAGATGTCTGCTTAAAAGCCCAAGTCTGAGTCTCACCAAATTTAAGATAAATTCCTCCATAATGGTCAATAATCTTTGCTTTCCAGGCTTTTTTTTACTTGAATCTTTTTGATAGCTTACTTCTTTTTCTTTGTTTTTGTCCCAATACTTAAGTTTTTCTGCAAACGGCTTGAGCAAATTAAATATCATCATAAAGCAAGCAAGGCTAGGTACTCGTCATCTTACTCGTCATCAGACTCGTCATCTTTCAAAACATCATCCACAAAGAGCTCTCTTTTTGAGCTTCCATTGAGACCGAAACAAAATCTAGTCTGGGGATTTTTCCACTGTCAAGCAGGAATCACATGGCTGGATGAAGTATTTATGATATTCTCTGAAGATATTATTCAGAAGTTCTTGGCACAGAACGAAAGCTCGATGTTGTGTCATCCACATGCGGACCAACAAGTCATGTTGTGGCTGAGCAGTATTCTAAACAAAACATACTTCCACGATACTAGGTTACATCATCAGCCTCCAGCGTCACATGTTCCTCGATTTAGTAACATCTCGAATGTTTGTGACTCCCATTTAGGCGCGCATGGGGCATATGGCGAGACCATGTATTATCTGGGGCTAAGAGCTAATGACAACGCTAAAGACGTTTCAGCTATTCCTGATTTTGCAAGATTTTGTAAAACCACAAAATTAGATTACCGCGTATTTAATCCTATGTGGAAATATGAACCCAAGCCCTGCAAAGATAACCCAACGTGGAACTTGGGAGATGAAATGTGGTATGGTAAGGAAGTTGGTCAAGGATTGTAATCTGGAAATTAATTTTTTTAAAAATATAAACGATAGAGGGCCATGCTTTACAGGATGTCAAAGAATGGAATTTCTTCGTCCTGTTTAAATTCAATGGTAAATTTGATACTGTTGTGACTATTTAAATGCTGCAAGAACTCTGGGCACAGTGACGTTAAACAGTATGTGAAAGTACCATCAAGACGCCGAAATCAAACTAAAGGAGAAGGACAAACTTGGCCGTTCATGACCCCCCTGGTTCTTTTAAATCTAAGAAAAGTTTTACCGACAGGTATTCAGCCAGTATTTCGAACAAAGTTTGATAGAAGTTATGCTTATTTTTCGCATGTTTTTATATATAGTTGTAGTTCGCTGTGTATTCCAAAATTTTCCAGCCTTTGAAAGCTACTTTCCTCCTTATCCCGTTTTAATTGGGCGAATAGTCATTTTCCAGGTTAAAGGTGAATCCTTTACACATAATTTTTTGACTCATTAACATATGCTTATCGTTATCTGATGAAGCTAATAGAATAAAATTTAATACTGCTATTGTTTTTGTAAAAAAGAGAAATTTCATTATCTATTCAGCTATAGACCAATGAACAAAAAGGTGACATGAACTTTTCGCCAAAGTAAACTGCAGCTTAAAGGCCTAGTTTATCATGAATCTTGTTGGAAATATACTGTCGCGTGAGGAACTCGCCGAATGTGCACTTTTCTAGAGGGCGCTTGAAAATTGCATAGTAGTAAAAAACTTATGTATTTCAGGCTCCGTCCACACGTATCCAGATATTTTTTCAAACCGTTATTAGTTCTCTCTGGATACTTCCATTGTGTAATCATTTTTCTACCAACATGAATATAGAATAAGAATTTCCCTTCTATCGATGATCGGACATAGATTTCTAAATGGACTTACAGGTACTTGAGTGTACAACCAAAGTCACTTCTTGAATCGAAAGACTTGTATTCCGGATATTTCTGAAAACCGCAGTAAGAAAGAACGCATAAAAGGATTAGCACCTATTTGGCATTGACATGCGTATCAGTTGAATCTATGGTATTGTGATGTGAAGGAGTCCAGCAAGTAAGATACACAAGATCAAATATACACAACAGAAGCTAACCAGACATTTTTCTCTCCTCATCGTCATCCTCGTAGCTTGCAAGGAAATACTTTGTATTATTGCCATATCGGGAACGACATTATGAGAAAATGGTGGCCGTTTTTACGCTAGTATAACTAGCAGTAGCCTTTGGCTAGGAAGTGCGGGCGAAACCGCTTTCATATGAATGTACATGCCCTTTACATATAGTGTCAACAAAAGGAATCACATGCGGATTATGAAAACTGGATTGAACAACACAGTAAGCCAGACTCATATTTAATTCAACGATTTTATTCTCAGCTGCTTAGATACAATTAGCCTGCGAATGGTAAGGAGAGAGGAGAGACGCTTGTATTCGCCGGCAAAGATACATTGAAACAGTAACGCATGACACAAGTAATACGTGTATACAGTCATGCACGAAGTCTTACTATTCAATCGAATATTCAATCTGTGTTCATTAGCCAAAGGTCATTAATATTAAATAGTAAAATTACCACGAGAGTTTAAAGCTTATTGAAGCTTTCGGATGGCAAGCGACGTAACATGTTTGGAGATGTATAAAAATATAAAAACCTTGCACTGTAGGGAAACCTGAGTAAACTTGATTTACATCGATTTTTAGACTTTGCTAGAACTTGTATATTGAATGAATGAACAATGAAGCTTTATTTAATCTCGGGTTTGATGAGGTTGGTTAGACCTCTAGCAAAAATATGCTAATAAGCCGAGGAAAAAAAAGCAAAGAAAACAAAATAAATAAAAAATAATAATAGAGAAAGAAAGGGAAATCCAAAAACTTATTTGCAGTATAAAGCCTAAAATTGCGTGACAGCCATTTACAATAAAAAGCCCAATTTCTTAACAGAACATAGATATTATAGAGAGTAAGTTAGAACCTTAACTGTCGGACTTCTTTTTTAAAACCTGGCGATGTAGTTAGGGATCTTAAGGTATCAGAAATCTTTTTCCACGTAATAGCCGCCAAGTACTTTACTGAGTTCTTGCCATAACGAGTCGTATTATGTTTCGGTACTTGCAGCTTGTTAAGCCCTCTCAGGTTTTTGATAATGTCTCTTAAAGGGGCTATGTCAGCTGGAGAGCATGCGCTCTGAGGTTATGCAAATTACTTTCAACTGTCAAAATTCTATTGTTTTTAACGCGTGACTTTCTCCATGTGCGCTCTGAGGTTATGCAAATTACTTTCAACTGTCAAAATTCTATTGTTTTTAATTAACGCGTGACTTTTTTCATGTTCTCTGTCACGTCCAAGGTTCCGAATTTAGAGAGGTTAACAAGCGAAATGGGTTTGGATAAGGGATATTTCGAAAGAATTTATGGAACGTTTCTTCTCTGGTTATGCCAGATCAAGAATAAAATTGGGACGACAATTTTACTTGTAGTTTTGAAGTAAAAACGCATGCCATTCATAAAATGATAAAATAGAGCGCAAACAAAAATTCAACAACAACATATTGTCTTATTCAACAAAATAAATGGAAGTTGTATTTTACAAACGAGCTACAAAAGACGCTAGACCGAAGATAAAGACCAAGACTGTTTCAAATCATTAACAATTACACTTGTCTGTCGCTACTGATTTTATAATTTAGATACTGATAGAACAAGAGACCACGTCTTTGTTTTGATCTTTGGGAAACATACATTATCGCGCAAAATTGTTCGATCGTGTCGAATCACTGCGACGTCGAGAAAAACAGAACCCAACATCATTGGTATACTACTCCACTATAAGCAGTCCGTTGATAAAAAGGGAAAGTAAACTCTGCTATTTTCCAAAATTATGCTCGAACACAAACAGTTCAAAAACATGGCATTTACAGGATCTAACTCGTACTAAGGTGTCTCTCTAAGTCCGTTGAGAACAATCTGGACGAGCAAACGGTCGTGTTTATCTTTGCCGTGAATCGAGATAAATACAAGAAGGAATCTAGCCGAATTTTAGAATGTTTCCTTCGCCAGGAGTTTAGTTTCGTCACGAAACTCATGGCCTGATGCTCTTGTAATCGTTTACAAAAAACGGCCGCCGCCAACTCGATAGCCGCTTCATTATATGTCCACATACTTTGAGCACAAGAAAAATCCAAGAGCCAGCAGCCTCTAAAATAACTCAATAGAAAGGTCCTGTGAACTATAGGGAAGATTCCATCAAAGATTCCATCACTCATTGTGGAGTAGCCGTCATTAACTCTGCCATTACAACGGCCGCTGATAAGAGGACACAGTAAATCCACGTAAAAACATTCCACAGGCAAACAATTTTAAAGTAACGCCAAAAAATTGTTCTGTAATCACCATAGAACGATTCTTAATACAAAACTTCGCTAACTATCGAACGATGGCTGAGATTTAGACAGATAAAAACAGCCTTCCAAAATCTCCGACACAACTTGAAAAAGTTGGGCCGTCTTTTTCAAGTTTGTTTTCATTGGCTCGCGCATGCGTGTTGGGTGACATAGCCCCTTTAACCTACAGAGGTCTCTCAGTAGACTACGAGTAGTCCCCCATTTTTCCTCAGGGATAGTAGAACGTGCGAAACGCGAGCGCGCGTGGGGTGATTTTCACGAGCGCTTGCGTTTAGCACGCTCTACTATCTCTGAGGAAAAATGGGGGACTACTCGTAGTCTAGTCTCTCAGATGTTCAGGTGGATAATTGTTAATTGTGTTAAATACAATAATTAACAAGTTCTGGATACGTCGATCCACAAGGCTGTAACCAATACGATCAAAGAGTACTAGTTTGTGAAGAAGTAACGAGTGCTCGTTCATGCAACCTATCCAGTTTTTTACTACCAGGCGTTGAACAGTGATACCATATGGAGGAAGAGTAATGAAAACGAGACATTATGAACTAATTATAAAGGCAGAGTTTGGTCCGAAACGATAATATATGTTTTAGTTTACAAAGAACATCTAGTTGCTTTTCAACTTTCTCGCTAATTTTTGTATAAAAGTGTTTTCCAAAATTCAGGGAATTGTCCAGTGCTAACCCAAATAGATCTACTGTATCAAGTAGTGGTAATGTAACACCTTCAGCAAATAGTGATAACTTGACATTGGGTTTTCCCGAGAGAACCAGCGCCTTGCATTTTTCAGGGTTCACGATCATTTTGTTATTACGAAACCACATACAAACAACCACAAGTTCCTTATCGACATGTTCGACAACAGCTGGATCAGTATCAGCAAAATACAGATGATTATCATCAGCATAGTTAGACAGCTTCAACTATTTGATGAGATAAAATAAGTCATTTATGAAGATATTAAACAATA